TTCCAAGCTTATGATGTTTCAGAATTAAGGGCTACCGATGGTCAGCTTCAACATTTTAACGATGAAGAAGTATTTGCTAAATGAAGTGGGACGTGACTAGGGAAATGAATCAAAACAAATTGCAGTTCTCATCTTTTTTTTAGCTCTGCTATTAGAAATCGAAATTACTCGAAAGTTCGTAGACATTGCGTGTAGAAATGTATATATATTCCTTGTAGGAGATAGCTTCAAGCACTTCTTAAAGCTTTATTAGCCATTAAACTAGTATCGAGAGATATACATGAATGTTTGTTTTGAAATGGATCTCATATTTGCCGGTTTTTAGAGGAAAAGAGTCATTTCTTTCAATAATTTTTGACTCACCACTTCAAAAAAATTAAAAGTAAGACTAATATGTTATGTACATCCCTAGCGACGCTGCACCTTCCCTCCAAGGGATGGGAGGTAGCGGTCCCCGAACGAAGGCTTCTGATCAAATTGTGAGTGGATCTGCCAATGTTTATTTAGGTCACTGATTTCTTTGCCGTGACCACGCATATAGCAATAGTTATGGGAAGGTAAACATATGGTTGACAGCTTCTGATCTATAGAGTATAGATTCGTCCCATAATTTCTCGTATTTCTCTCAAAGGTTAACAGATATTTAGACAAAGTATCGAGCGATTTTAGACATTAATCTATTTCGTTATAAATTGTATGCATATACGAACATAAACGTTACTTTGAATCTTAAAAAAAAACAAGAAAATACATGTGTAGAAATTTTTTTAGCGAGTTATATGAAATTTTATTACTTATCGATTTTTTTCAAATATTTTTGAGTCACTGCATTGTAATGAGATAATGTATCTCTCAAAACTTTTTAATTCAAGGAGTCCGAAAAGATCCATCAAAGTTGTATTGTTTACCTGTCTCAACATGGAAATATAAAGCTTTGTGTTCGTCCTCTCTAAGTTGCCTGTTTTTTAGGCGGAAAATGACAATTCTTTCAATATTTTTATGGCCCATCTCTAGGAAATTCTGAAAAAAACACTAAAAGTAAGAGTAGAATGTGATGTACATACCTCGAATCATTGACCAAATGGCAACTAAAAATTCAAATATTACAGATTTGGTACAAATCATAATAGCAGATACCACCTCCATACTTTTTCTGGACTGATGCTATGCAAAAGTCTAATAAACAAATAGCCTTATTCCATGACTAGAGACATCTTTTTATACCTATACCTTATTTAACTTTTACGATCATCTTCAATAGATGCGGTTTTACTAACAAATTGGAAATAAGATACATTTAACCAAGATACCTTATAATTGCCAGAATCTGGAAAATTATTTCTTTATAGAAATTTCCACATAATCAACACACTTGGAGCAGAGAAGTCCTACCAAATGGTCGTAGTGCGTAGTGGCGAGCTGATCTAACAGATTTGGAAGATGGAAGCATCAGGAGAAAAGTTAAGACTACAAGATTTATAATGTAGTTTTTAATTGTACATGACCTGTAAAAACAGAATCATCTTCCCTTAAAGTTTATAGACGAGCATCTGCTAGAAATGCAGCTTTAGAATAATCTAAAGATTCGCCTTCTGAATGCTTGTAAGCACTCTGTATATTCCCATTCTTCGCCACACACAAACCAAGTTTTTACATAAATGTGACATAACGTGATATTACGATCCTGGTATTGGCCACATTCCAAAATTACGACCGGCAGCAAAGCAGCAGCTGGTATGGACGATCGTCGACAGTCGTCACGTCTGGATATTTGTGACGTTCATCATCCAATAAATTCCCTGCTGATAATTATTGCACACCGGTATCTCGGGAATTCCAAACAAGAGATAGCGGAACAATAACATTTATTAGCGTTGTTGTTAGATATTTCAACTCTTCAAAATCATATGGTGATTAATTGTCGGCGATTAGATACTTTGTTGTTAGGTGAGTAACAATGTGTGCGATACGCTTCCGATGGTACGTTTGCATGCAAGGTTATTGTTCCGTATTTTAGAAATCATTAGCATATTCTACCTAAAGACCTGAGAATTTCGTGACAAATTCTCATAGATGATGTTACGGTATCTCATGTTATCTCGGATAATCTTTTGAAAGCGGAAATATAGCATTTTATTGGCCTTCTTCAGGTAGAACACGTTATTCAATGATTCTAGGCGAATTGACAGACAAATGAACAAAACATTTGTGACAAAAATACTTATAGAAAGCCACACTAACTAAATGTTCAGATACACTAAAAATGGAGGTGTTTTGCTTCTGTGATTAGTAGCTTCGCTTGCTCGGAGCTGATTTATTTCCTATCTAGCCAGAAACCTATTCCGTCTTGGGGCAGACGGAGCCCGTGCCCAGGGCAAATGCCCAAAAATCAAAAGAAATATCATAAAAAAAGTCCACCTGTGCTTCCAATCTAGGCTCCGAAGTTTCTGTGTGTCGTGGGTCGCCTACATGGGTGCTCGGTAGTGCGTGCCAGGGAAGGGTCAACTTTCAGAATGATAATGATTTACTGCCCACCCCCGCTATTCAAAAAGATTTGGGAGAGACACACTCTCACAAGAAGTTATCGCTCCTCTCCATGAAAGAAATGTCTGCGGATGCCCATGACATGGCTTGACACAGCCATGCCGGAAGGGGTAAAATCACAGCATGATGGTTGGACAATCATATTGTAGAAAACTTCTCAAAGGGTAACCCTTCCAGTGCTGACACACAATAAATAAAGCAATTATTGTATCTGATCCTCAGGCTAACAAGCAAGTGTAGAAACAGACAGATTTTCATAATGCAAAAGGCCATCAAGAAGCGAAGGCTGGATAGAGAGTAATGTAGCAGCTTTTTGTAGCTCAACTTCTTGAAAATGAGAGAGTAGAAGAACTAATGGAAAGTGGTAATGGTTGTATTGCTTTTAGAGAAACTTATTCTAAACCCTTTTTTTAAGAATTGACATCTTGGATGCTAGCGAAGACTGAGCAGTTGTTACTGCCTAATTTCAACATTAACGCACTTCTAGACACAAGATCGTGAAGAAAGTACTCGAGTCACTTGATGTCAAAGTGTGTGGCCCTGACATGACCTCTGCAATAGTATCGAAGGGATGTAAATCGGGGATTGTTACGCATCCGATATTTTCCCAAGGGACCCGCTACCTAAAGATTAATCCTAACAACTACATCAAGCATGATAAGTCTGCCGTCTATGATCAGCGAGACAGACAGAATTTCAGTTTCGGTGGTGCAAACAGCAAGGCCCTGCGCTGTTACGGACAACCAAACAGTTTTAAAATTAAAACTACACTTTTTATACTGATGCAACCGTGCAGGCAGGACCCTTAATACCGAGTCACCGCTTTTACCATAAGGACCTAAAAAACACCTTGTTAATCTGACTTTTGAGCTGTCTAAAGTTAGCATAACTGGGAGAGGTCCCATCAGGCAGATTGTCTCACAATTTCTACACCCTAGGAACCATGGAGCGGTCGCATCGGACAGTTCTAGATGTACGAAGATAGACGGAGGGTAGGAGGCAGAAGACTTGTAGTGCCTAGCCTAGCATGTTAGCTTAACGGTAGAAAAGAGCAAGAATGCTGAAAACCAGTTGGTATGAAAGGGGCCCGAGGCCTCCACCCTTAGTTAGAGAATTGTCATCGATCACTCCTCCTCTAATCTGCACAGTGGCGCCCCCCTAGACCTCTGACACTTGCTTTTGTAATCTGACACCATTGTGTTACTTTCTGACTCGTCATCGCGACAAAGGCATACTAACTATAAGTTATAGCTATAGGAACTGAGCATTGAGATTTTTTGGTATCCTTTGGTATTCCAAACGTTGTCCCTCTTTGACATCACTTACGTTTACAGCACAATTCTTACGATTCATACGTATATACGATATATCTAAGTCTGACTAATATATTAGCCATGCAGATTGTACTTAAAAAGTTGTTTAGGTTCTGTTTGTTGCTCAATAGTAATTTGAAAAGTGTCTAAAGCTTGACTGATTTTGTTCGGGGTTGGTGTTGCAGCGAAGCACTATGTTAGATGAACGCCTAAATTGGAAATAGAGATTTATGAGATTTGTTCAGTGGTGCGCGTGTGGCCTGTCCAGAAACTGCGCTGATCGATGCTCAAAGTCAAATTTTTGAAGGAGAGAAAAGAGTATGACAATCAAGGAGGCCATAAAGGCGCCCTACAATTGTAGGGACGACTGACGATACGGACCTTAATCCTTAAGCTTAATACACACTAGTAGACTCCGTTGCGCAAATTGTTTATAGGAAGTCTGGAGACCCTCTCAATACACGATCTTTAGATGGTGTATAGACATTCTTCTTTGTCTCGTCTAGCGTCTATACGACAATGTGAATTTTTCGGTCTCATGTTCGTTTTCGCAATCAAAGACATTGTTTTGTGTGGAATGGACTGGGATATGTCTCGGGATCACTGAGAATGTTTTTTTTTTCGGTCAACAGAGCAATGAAGTTTTTTTATGTTTGAATATTATTACACTAGTTAGTTTTAAATGCCACGTACTTATTTTGTTCTCATATAGTAAAATATTGTCTTTCTGAGGATCTCTGAGCATTTTCTAAATTTTTTTAAAGCTGGAATTGACCAGATAAAACACAATGGATTTAAGGACCTACAATGGGCTAAATTCTAGAAGTTCCACTGAGGTTGAAAAATGATCAGCCCCAAATATCGTATGCCCCCCCCCCCCCCCTAGACGAAATCCTAAGTCCGCCCTTGAATCTGCATCGGGCATAGACAGTGTAGTCGCGGCTGTAGCACCCCAAACATGCAAGCAGTACTCGTGGCTGCAGTTTGTCTGAGTCTTGTATTGTGATTCAAACGGAGGAACAATTTGCGATTCGGTATAGCATTAAAGCGCTAACAGGCTAGTTGCCACATCACAGATACATTGTCTTGACTCAACTGTTCAATTCTTGTAAAGCGTTTTTAAGATGACATTTTTTCACTCACCTTTCGCATGCGTCGCCGTTTTGTCCAGCGCCCTTGAGAAGTGCTCGTCCACAACCGATGCTGCGTCTCCCTGGTAGTGGGTAAAGACGACGCAGTTGGCAGAGACGTACTGCGCCCTGGAACCCCCTCCGCCACTGGCTCCCTCTTGAGAGTCGTCGTCGTCGGGGGCTGCCATGGCTTGCTGGGGGTCTGAAACGAAATTCATTATAATGCAAAGACACAGCGCTTTGACAGTGACGTGCGATGTGTTATCTCTTTTTCATTTTACTTTCCACGCTCCACTAATAGAAGGAGGATTGTAATTGCGAAAAATTTCAAAAATAAGATATGTATTTTGGATCTTACATGACATCGTCATAACGAAAAACCATGTCACTCATTTCCGTCGAAATGTCTGTCGGTTTGACTGCTAATCTGCTCTTACTTAAGGTTACTATTATGCCAAGGACTGAAAATGTTTATGATTTCTTAAAATCGATCTAGTGGCGGCGGACAAAGAAGGCCAAGAACGAAAAAAATTGAATCGCTCAAACCTGGTTTTTATGACTTTTCAGAGGAACCTGATCATTTTTGATAAAATGTTTAGGGGTGAGAAATTTGGTGGTGAAAGTTGTAGGGGGTGACAGGAGTGTATACACTTTCATATCCGGTAAGTTTACGCACCTATCAGACATATTTCACTTATGATAAATTTCCCCGTATATTTGCCCTTAAAACTTGGAAAAATATCTCCAGCCGACGTATCGGTCGCACTTTCCATACGCCACTTGGTTGTAAATATTGCATCTTTGGTAGTGGATCTGAGGAACTTATAAAAGCAGATAGCAGACGGCGCTGTAAAGCGATATGCAGATACGAGGGGGACGCGACAACAGCATCTAAATTAATATGCTGGTTGTGTAACTTAATCAAGTTACTTGATTTCTTGGATATCAAACATTGTTGACAAAGACCAAACCTGCAAATAAACGAGGCTGCCGTGTAGGGACACGCTCACTGCTGCAATCCGAGGGATTTTTGTCCATGAAAATCCCAAATAGTGAACTAATGCTTCTGACAATTGTACTAGAAGTTGTTTCAAAGGTGTGGAAAGTATAGAGTCAATCTACTTGATGCCATACGAAGGGTCATCTTTGAATCTCCTCTATCTCAAACTCATTTCGTGTACTGCCTACTTTGGGAATCAATTATTTCCGAGCAACCCCCAAAATAGTTTAGGAAAATATACGTCTCAGGAGAGGGAGGGCATCTGCGATTGGAAATTGAAAAGAAGGGGGGACATGTTTTTCAAGACTTTTAAAAAGAAATAGATACAAATCGATTTCGAAAGGCTCTTTTAAAATACATTTCAAGCAACTTACGTGACGAGTTAATGTATAGCAAATAGGCGCACTGTTTAAAGTAGATATTCGAAAGAACACGGCTGTAACGTTCGTTTGACGAGGTATAACTTCTTTTTTATTGGCTTGAATATTTCCACTGGCTGGCAGGATACATACTATGGTCAATTAGCAAGTGCTACTCTTCAGCCAACTGGTTCCAGTATAGCAGCATAAAAAGTGGTCTATGTTTCTCGCACTAGAGATGTTATTTCATGGGAAGTTATAAGTAAACCTGTTTTTTTTAAATTGGTATCAAATATATAATATAAATCTATTAAAAATTCTCTTTTGGTTTCCTTGAACCCTCATTATACATACGACAGATAAAACTGCATTAGTCAACTGGCATGCGAAGTAAAGATATGTCAACAATTATGCATTTATGTTTGATCTATTTAGGGCCAATTTCACCAACATTAATATTATGGACCAATGGGAAAATACCTTATAGAAATGCATTTTGATAGAAGCTGTCAAAGGTCTCTGAATATTAGTGATTTCTATTGAAAGATTGAATAAAATCGTGAAAATTCGACTGTATTATAAACAAGACCTCTTTTTGATTCCAACATGATGCTTTTGTACAGAAAAACAGGACAACTTTCATGTATTTTGATATATGTTATAGATTTACATTTAACAATCCGTTATCCCCCTCAGCGAACGGGAATGCGGCAAATAATAGGTCGCTGTTAAATTTGGCAGCAGATTTGGACGTTTGTTAATGCATGGCACTCTAGAATTTACCAACTTCAATATACTGAAAGTTATCATTACATACCTGTTGAATAGTGTGGATTTGTCTGTATTTTGCAAGAAAATAGAATATAAAATACATTCCATCCAATTCCTCATCTTCCTTTACGTCATAATAGTAATCATTTATTAATTTATGGGTTAATGAATTTCTTCTAAGCAATAAAAACATTATGTCCTCTCCATCCTAAAACACAGATAATATCTGTAAGACCTGTCAATCCCTACATCTCCCTGATGTATAATGCAATTACTATGGACATAGACAAAAAATTATGAAAAATGTTTCACAAATAATGTCTTTTAAGTCCAAAAATCATCAAAACTAGTAATGTTTATTGTTTGTGTTTTTGACTGGCGGTCGTTGACTGGCGGGGATATCTATCTGACACTCGAGGGTTGCTAAGTCTAACGACGATCACGTCCCGTGGTGGAGGGTGCGAAATGAATATTTCACCTTTGCTGGTTTTGCATTTTTTTCGTGGAAAATTTACTAGGTATCATGATTATAAGCATCTTTGGTAGATTGTTCGATCCGGAATGGAAAGGATCTCCTATTTATGAAAATGTTTTTGGTATCATCTAACCGTTAACATACAGGTCGCCTAGCCGTGGGGATGCAGTGGTCGGGATGAATATCACGGCAGCAACTGATGATTTGGGCATGTCTGGTAACAACGTATGAAGTGAAACTAGCTAACTTCACAAATTTGAAGATTTTGTACAATTTCTTTGAAAATGATGAAAGATATGTCTGATTTGGCAGGGTAATGTCGCAGCCAAATGGCAGTCACTCTTCCTGACACAGTCCCGATCGAAAGATGACGATACTCTTGAAATGTATTGATACTTCTAAATATAGGATCCTATCGAACATCCCTACTGTCAAGATGTATAACCCAAGGTACCGACGGAGCTATTTTGCGGCGTCATGGAAATAATTTCAAATCTTCATTTGCATTTTTTCAAGTGTTGTGCAATGATTTTGGGAAAAATGTCACGAATAGTCTTATAAAGCATAGTAGAGTATATTTCAACAGTTGGCGAAACTTACTCCACTGGGACCAGGAGGATGAAACGGGATATTAATGTACAATCTGGCAACCCTGTCGCACCCTCACAAAATGGCCGCTGACAACTACACAAGTCACCGTATTGTGATTGAATAGCATGGAATTAAACCTTCAGAGTATATATGTTTTGTGACTGGTACCAAGAGTTGACAGATCCCACAGATGTGTCACTCCTTGAAATGCAATAATCAGCTGTATTCAAATAATGTCTAATATAAATATAACCTAGGATGTGTACTCGTGAAAAAAGAAAAATATGGCAAATTTGTAGTTTTTTTGCAGGATTTATAAGTTTTCTTCTTTTCTCTAGCTTTAAGGCATATATTTGGGAATTACTTAATCGCTGTGAATGTAGTGTGGATGTTTGTTCAGTTCTTGAACAACGAAAAATATTCAACTTTATGGATGTATAGATATCAAAAAACCTGAATGGTTTTGTGGGAATATCAATCTAAGGTGCCATAATGGTTCTGATGTACGGCATCTAAATGAATGAATGTTTGGAAACGAGCAATATCTTTTGGTAGAACCTGTCATCAAGTAGGTGCTTAATGGCTATCTGCAAGAGGTTTATAGGAAAAAACACCCAGTATCACATATCAATTGAAGAAAATAATATAAACATGAATAAAAAATTAACAATAGTAATTAAAACATGAATTTCATTCAAAAATCAAACATTTCTTAAAATTTTAACTGAATTATATGTAATTTCTTAATATTCAATAAGCTGGTAATGTTTCAATGACAAGTTGTCATCTCATACTTTGACAGTATTTTGTTTTCAACATTTCATAGCTATTGGTTGCTAAAATTTGTTGATTGGAACTTGAAGCTCATTCGCTGTATCTGACGGTCTGTTACCCTATAGGTGGAGAATAACGGACTGTTGTTGGTGAAATTGGGCCTAAGATTTGTTCTTATTTACTGAATTGGGTAAGATCATTTAGTATATTCCAATTTTGCGTCTACGGTGTAGGAGGTCGCTTTCACTTCCGCAAGAAAAATAATCGCCGTCTTACAAAGTTATGAAAATTGATCATTTTTAATCTGCCGGTCAAATTAATCGCATATTAAAAACCAAAAGTTAGTGCCCATTTTACGATGGTGATTAAAATATTACGACGTTTATTTGTGTGCTTTGGTAAGATAATAAAATCACCGAAAATACGAGGCACACTGCGTCTAGACAAGCATAAAATTGGGATTATAGACCAGGATGTCTAGAATTGTATAAAAAATATATGAATCAGAAAATAGTTGCAATATTTCTAGGCCATAAAGTAGATCAAAAAATAACTCGACAAGTTGCATTCTGAAATGCTTCCCGTCCAAGATGCAGGGTATTGAAACTTGAAATCGGAAAAAGTCATATCTTCTGAACTAAGATACTGGCTTAAAATTTTGTAGGAGTGGTAGTAATACCCTTTCCAGACCCACGCGCGGATCACGGCGTGAAATCGCGCCGCGGATCGCGGGGCGAATCCCGAAATTTGTCCCTACAGTTCCACACTCGCTGATGTTCGCGCCAGCTTTACAGTATAGTTCGCCCTCTTGACGAGTGTGGATGGTGAAATTGCTACTGCTGCTGCAGGGCTCCTCTGCGCTTTGGCAATTTATAATTACGCATATATAAGTAAAAGGAAAACAATTGAAAAGAAGTGGAAAAGACACAACCACTCCCGGCACTCGCTTTGAGGCAATTGAAACACCAGCGAATGAGGAGCCTATACTATAACTATCTAAAACTGTAATGACTCATCGATGTTCACGTGAACATCACTTAACTACCAGTAGTCGGCTGTTCATAGGCGGGGTATGAATGTTTAACATGGGTGAACTAGATTTGTCACATTCTTAATAAAGAGTGGTTTGAAACATATTGTAAGTCAAAATTTTGGGAATTACCTTTATTCATCGTCGCTTCCACTTACATCTGACAGTAATAAACTGTCGCTATCGCTTTCCTCGTTGAAAT